TTTTATCTAGTGTACAGAAGAAAACTGTAAAGCCTCGTTCTCAAAGCATAGTCAACTGAGGCAGCATGCTGCGGAAACACATTGCCCTGCAGGAACTAAACCATACCGTTGTACAGCTGATAACTGTACAAAGTCGTTTTCAACTAATCAAAAACTACGGGCCCATTCCAAAACACATGAAGGTCGTATTTCATGTCGACGTTACTCCGTACTATTTAAAACTAATTCTTGTTTTGTTTAGATCGTTATGCGTGCACAGATCTTGCATGTCGTGTAGTCACCGAAGCTGGCTCTTCCACGCTCCTATATTTCACCACTTGGTCCGCGCTTCAAATGCATTTGCGACAAAAGCATCCACCTACATGTCCATACGATGAATGTGACGGACGGACTTTCACCCGACGCACATATTTAAAAAATCACCTGAAACTACATCAGGAAAAAGAGACGACAAAAGGTGTTACTGAAGCTGTAGGGGCAGATGGAAATGCAGCGTCAAAGAGCCGAAGAGGAGGCGAACTGGGAAGAGACTGGCCTTGCACATTCGAAGATTGCACAAAAGCGTTTAAATCAGTGTGTTCTTTTATAAAATTTACAACGATATTTTAAAGGAAGTTTTATTTCAGAAAAAGGCACTGTCAGTGCACACTAATATTACGCATCTGGGTCGGCGAGATTTTGTCTGTCCTCACCCGGGCTGCGGGGAAACTTTTGGCTATAAACATCTACTTCAAAGACACGAAGTCAAAGCTCATTCGGAAATAACATATCAAGCGGAAGAGGTTTTGTCTTCTTCAGACAGCCAGTATGATATCGACTGGATAACTGGGAAGAACTATATACTTCGTTCCGGTCATAATAATACCCGTCGTCCACTCGTTCCCTGCCCATGGCCTAACCGATTTGACCTGACCATGACAATTCGGAAAGAGGAATCAATTGAGAAATGCTCTTATATATTCAGTCGGGCCTACGATCTAAGACGACATTTGAAGGCGGAGCATTCCCTCGAGCTGACCAAGGACGAGGTCGATGCTTGGGTTAAAGCTTATAGGGAAAAGCATCCCCTTTGAAAATATTTATGGATGGATATATTCTATTGAGATCTCTTATAATGTATACCGGATTTTCTTGTTTTATTATTCTATCATCGAAACATTCTTTGAATTGTGAGCGGGTGTGATCAAAGTCATAGAAAGCTTAGAGGAGACAACGGGTGAATAAGAGGATCCTTAATGTTTAGAACCCAATGCCCAGGCTTAAGGGACCAATTACAATTTTTATTTACTAAATGATTAGATTATATTAAATAAAACAGATACACTTCACAGATTACTACATTTGGGGGAATAAGAGTAAACTCAATCTTGTTTTCGCGACTGGGATGAATTAATATAAGGTAATTGGGTAAAAGCGAATCCGGCAAGTCCAACAGCTATTTAAAAGAATTCGAGGAGTTCATTAGCGAGGGACAAGAGGTTATGAAACATCAATAAACGTACCAAAACCCGAAAGTTTCTCAAATGGTGAATGCCAATATATGCTCGTCATTAAAATCATGAAAAGCCATAATGACATCAATAGCGTCGAAAATGCCACAGCCACTTTATAAGGCAAGGAATTACTAAGTCTTCCGGACGTGATGGTTCTCCAAGCCGGTTGGAGTTGATCGTGTAAGAAGAGGACAGCAAGCGTAAGGAGAAAAATATGACCCGAAACGTCATGTCCACGATATAACTTGGCACTCGTCTTCCAAGTGGCTTGGATAGTATTCGATTCCATAAATGAGGTGAATAGGGCCGGGTGTGTTTGGGGAGAAATAATGCTTCGTGAGACACAGTATTCCGAGGGGATCTTCAAAATGGCAGGTTCGTGTCCATCAGGTAATCGTATCATGCATTCTCCACCGGAAGCCACCCATAATCGATCAAATAACCCTGGCCCAAAAAACCATAAAACGAAACTACCCCATACATAGGTGGTGGCAGCCCACTTAAACCACTTCTCTCTTGTTCTCTGCTCAGCTGGACTGGTCACCCATATACTCAAAAACGCAAGCGACGTCCATGCCCACGCCCATTTCACAAAAACAGTGTTGAACACATTAGATCTTTGAGCGAAAATGGTCTTGGTATGTAATGGATGAGGGAGATGCGCTAGTAATGGATCAGAGGTATCGAGATAAGTATGATTTATGAATGAGTATAATGTTCCACCGAATACTGCTACTGATATTAGCGTTAGAATCGTTGAACGAGTAATCATCGAATGAAGGTTCAAAAGAAACACGACGTCAGCGATTTGGTCACACTATTATGCATTCGTTACTTGTCACAAGCGCTCTACTTGCCTTGCTATGATTGGTGGCTTTCTACTAGTACTCACTTCCCAGGTTTTGAAATGATCGCGAAGGTCCTGCAGTCCTGGGTCCAATTCCTATGCATGGTCTCCTAAGACAATTCAAGCATAAATTCCATGATTCATCAATATACACATTTTCTATTATGAGAAGATACGTAGTAAAGTGCAAAAAAAGCTAAAAAGAACATCTTTAGGAACCAGTGTATAACTCCAGTGGTGTCTCAACGTTACTAATAACAAGAGAAAAAACAGAATTCAATCATTTGTATCGGTTAGCCCAACCGGCTTGAATAGCTTCATCAAGTAACACCAGATCACCACCGCCAATGAAAGCATTCTGAGATTTTGCTTCAATTTCGAATTTTTCGATGAAATTTCGTGTAGCTTCAAGTTCATCTCCAGGCGTCCATACACATTCATCTATAGAATACCTAGAGAAAAACATGAAACTGATTAGCATACTTTCTTGAAAACGTAAAGTTTATAATTTCTTACCCTTCCCACTTGATTAACCAGGAATAACGTGCAGGACCTGGGAGCTCGGGACCCCGATCGAAACGTCCGACAAAACGTTCAATGAAGTATTCTCCTTCGAGCTTACTTCTTACCCCACAACGTGGACGAGAGCATTGTTCCTTTCCAGGTGTTAAACGGGATCTTGGTTTGTCTGCCGTGCAGTAATTCTTAATCAGTAAGGGTGGAATTCAAGAACGGAGCGCATACATTCAGCACTACAGAGATAAAAGCAATATATGAGATTCGGGGGAAGGTAGATCAATTTATCGAACTCACTTGGTCAAAACGCAAGGTGGGCAAGCGAATTTCCTGTCTTCCTCCAAACGAATATCGCCCTCACGGATATCGACACATCCCCAATGGAACCATAATTGACATCTAGAAGATGAGACAACGATAACCTTCATACTCTTATTCTTCCAACTCACCTATCACATTGTATGAACTAAAAGAAGAACTTATAATCAGAATCAAATCAAACAAAAAATACTAAAAAACCCGGACCTGACTACTGCTAGCGTTCTTTTTCCGTCTCGGCCAGGTCCGTGGTTTGGATCGTTTGGGTCCAGCAGGGCCAGACACCTGTTTCCGGAGGGATGACTGGCTTTTTCCCTTTTTCGCGGCTCTAAATTGAGATTGCACTTGCGAAGGCTGGGACGCATGGAAACTCAGGCGAAGGCGTTTAGGTTTTCGACTTCGACTATTTTGGGATTGCTCCGTGATTAGTGGAACTGTCTTTGGAGGAAATGAAACAAACCCAAGATCCCCTGCAGCGGGTGTCTCGCCATGGGAGGCCAGTTCGGAGAGTTCAGTTAGCGAGGAATACGATCTAGTGGAATTAGACCGACTCCTTCTATTCGATGTCAGTACGACCGACGACGAGGGAACAGGAATTCGGGTTTGTTCGCTTAATAGTGAGGAAGGATCTGGGAGAGATGGTGTACTTGTACTGCTGAGGTGTTGATACGCGGTTGGATCATTAGGAGGTGCGTTTGAATGAGAATTTTGATGTGATGGCCCAGAGATGGGATTTCGTAGTGTATTTAACGGATTAATGCAAGTAAAGTTTTCATTTATCTCGGAATTGTAGTCTTCATGACCGTGATTGAAGTCCACTAGACGTGTATCCCGGAGCGGACCGCGTACAGAAATCTGGTCACGGGAATTGGCTTGTCGAGAATCATCTTAATGGGAAAAATGAGAGTTCTATATTTAAGCAGAGTTTAAATAGTATACCATTATGATGATCGCTCCACTGCTGAGGCCTGGGTGTCACTGGGGTTCCAGAAAGCGACAAATCCCGTGCCAAACCATTGTCTACAGTATGTTCATGGGAAATAATGTTGTTGTCTGAAAGACGCGTCAAAACAAATTAAAACGTGATCTCTATGCACGACATACCTTCTGCATGTTGGGGTAAATACTTCAACGACTGCCTTTCGAGGTTACCAAGAAGTTGATTCATCGAATCGTGAAAATCTTTCAAAGTAGCCGTCGCACTCGTCGTAAATCTTGTCAACGCTTCTTCAATGTTTTCCGTCAAACGCCGTGTCTGCAACTGCATGTCCTGTATGATGAGTGTAGGATCGATGTTTGGTGAGGGAAAATGAGCAGTTGTGACTCTATCAGAAAGAGTTTTGATTATCTGTTGTTGTTTCGTCCATATCTCCTCCTGTTTAACGATACGATCAAGTAATACAGCATGTGAAGCCGAGATTGCGCGATCCAAGTGGTTTGTAATAGATGTGGTGAAGAGGTGCATTGCATCCACATTTTGATGACTGAACTGGAAGCGGGGAGAGTCTTGCATCGTAGAAAGAACAAAGAGGTTATCACGACGAAAAAACCTCTAGGGCTTATTAAATCCTTCAAAGGAGAACTTCTCTCCCAGAATTGGATTCTTTAAAACGTATATGTCGGTCGTAACGAGGTCAGAAAAACTGAGATTACATAAATTAAATGCACCTTGTGGAAAAAGGATATTCATGTTCTGTAATGAAAGTCAGGTGTTCGCAAAAAAGAACAACTTCTATTTGTATGTTATATATATATACTTATGACAGATTATGACAGGGTAAATTGAGTTTGATAAATAGACTACCTGTCAGCTAATTGGGAAAAAATGGACGTTCTGGGAATCGAACCCAGGACCTTTCGTAGTCACAAGACTGCGAAACGAATGTTATACCCCTAAACCAAACGCCCGCTACTTATGCCGCCAGTCGTAAATATACATGGTTCACTTGGATTCAATTACCTATGTAGGTCGCTGAAAAATCCCTAATAGACTGCTATCACAACCGGGCGCTTTTCAAACATGCCAGTGGACTATGACACCGCCGTAAAACAAGAATTCGCGTACTTGTCTTCGTTTCACCCTACACCGGAAGATATCCCGGGATGTTTATCCCTCTTAGATGACTACTTACGATGCAATGGTGAGCCCTTTCTGCGCAGCATGGCGTTTTACGGATACAGATGAATGGTTCCACAAAAGTTCTGGGCTCTCAGATGCGTTCACTTTATCGTTACGGGGAAATGGCTACATGTGGTAGAAAATTAGAAGACGTCAAGTTCTGCTTAAGTTTGAAAAGTATGTCAGCTGAAGAGAAGAGAACGGAGTGGTTAAAACGACGAGCCGAATGGTGGGCTCAGCGAAGAACAACAAAAAGCAGCGAAGATGTTTGGGATATCAGAACGTAAACCATCCTACCTTGTGTTTTCTTTTTTATCGCAATAACGTCATCTTCTAGTGAACCCCTCAAAAGTTACCCTCCACCACCATCAATGATTGAAGAGGGCGTTACGGTCATGAGGCGCATACATTAAAACTCTCTCTCGAAACGATAGCCTCAAACAGCAACATCATAGCTCGTCTGATCCATGATACGTAATTGCAGGCTGAATGCAACTCACGCAATAGAATATAATTATATTATTCAGACAAGTGTAATGTACAAGAACAAGACAGTACACATGCACCAGCGATATTCTTTGATAAAAAAAGCAGAATTGAAGAGGATGAAGAATACACCACTCATAGATAATGTTATTATAATACACCAAATTCGAAGAAAGAAAGTGATGAGCATTGCAGGGAATATGGGAAGAAAGAACGATATGCGATACGTCAGCTTTAATATTTGAATCGTACGACGAGAACAGTAACGTTATCGGTCGTGAAATGTTCCAGTGCGTATTTAAGTAAAGTTTCGGACATTTCTTGTGGATCTTCAATGGTTCTTACTAACTCAACCACTTTCTGATCGTCCACGACATCCCAGAGCTGCAATTAATTGTGAGCATAATCAATAAATGATGCAAAAAGATGCTGACGTACGCCATCGCATGCGACAACCAAAAATTCATCCTCGGGACTCAATTCCGTCTCAGTCGTGTATGGTGAACCGACTACAAATTCTTTCATCGAAGAATCTCCCAGCGCTCTGGTAACAGCCAATACACCATTAACCCGATTGTTCATGACAAATCCACCAGCATCCATAATTCTCTTCGCCTCCTGTTTATCGCTTCCTTTATGGTCATATGTCAACCTAACTGCCTTACCTCCACGGCATAATACCGCCCGCGCATCTCCGACATTAGCTGTATATAAAACACGCCTTAGGGACGCTCGTTCGCTCTCAGTGACTTCTGCTATTTCGGGAGGAATGAGGGATACAATCTTGTTTGAGGACGACCGTGAACCACCTAAGGAAAGAATCGTGTCGCGTATTCGACTCAGTCGTTTTTTATCTTCTGTGGAATTATCGCTGTCAGCGAGATCGCCATTTACAGCCGATGGACCTTGGGTCGACACAGGAGAATCAACAAGGCCATTAAGGAAACTTTGTCCACCATGTTCATCTTCTATACGAAGAAATGCCGTCACCACTGTGCATCCAGAATGTGTTTGGCCATCCTCGGCAAGCTTAGAAAGATATGAGTCAACAGCGTGAAAAGTGGTATTTAGGACTTCAGGGATTGGTGCTGTATTTTGAGTACGTAAGGCGTCCAGTAAATACTAAAAGAGTTGGGTTTTTCTTTGGCATTGATGTAAAAGATATAAATTTATGCCCTTACTTCATGAAAATGGGAGCCACACCATTCGGCAGCATGCTTCCCGGCATGCCCGTCGAAAATGGCCCAATAACCTTGTCCTCGCACATTAGCAAAATCTGCCACAAAACCGTAAGCATCTTCCATCGTTCGTCTTGAACCTTTGTCTTCGGAGATACCAATCACAAAAAACGAGGACTCAGACGGATGTTGATTTAAGGCCTATGTGGAAATAGCGTCATTGATTCAATTCCATAAGTTAAAAAAACAGGAGCGTATGTAAACTCGCCCCATATGTATTAGGCCCTTCCGCAGTAGTTACAGTCTTCGATCGGGCATTTGGTGAATCGGTGAAGGTTGGAGTAGAGACTATTTGTGAGGCTCGTGAAGGTGTTGCGGTGTGATTCTCATTAGGCCTCCGAGTTCTAAGTAATGAATTTATATGTTCATTACCACGCACACGATTCTATTTAACCTACATTAGCGAACTAAGACGCAACGGAGTTGGGCCCGTATCACCATCTTGAGGATTATGGGAACCTAACCGCATACTTAGCCGCTAGATTGAAAGAAAGGAGATAAATGGCGTGCCTGTATGTTGGGGTTCAACATTTGGATCTTTTTCTAGATTCATGAAAGAGAACGAGTGGCAAGGAAATGAAATCAGAACAAAGCGTACAATGTCGTTAATGACAGAACCACAAGACCAGCTTTTTGTGACGAGTCACGGTCTATGCCGCGGCGCCAAAATAGTGTGGCACTTTGAAGGACAAATGACGAAACAGGATTTACTCCATAAGTGGGTCTGGAACACTATTGTGTGTAATTTGCACGTAATGTCTATTTCAAATGCTGTAAGGAAAAGGAACACAGCACAGCAACAATTCTGTAAAGGACCCAATATACACGCTCGCGCCAGATGTCACGAGTCGCTTTCGCCATAGAACGATGGGCCAAAAACCGAAAGCTGATGGAATGTGTAACAGCCAATCACATAGAGCAGAACGGCGTTATTCCCAACCCGAATACAGTCTAGTCTCCATGTGAAGAACCCAAAAGCAGGCAAGTAGAACGACAGGCTGAAACCGATGCCCGCCAGGTTTGAAGTCGGTGCCAGAGGCACAGCCATTGTTGTTTTGTCCATCAAAAGGGAAACAATACCCAATCATGTCGCTCTCAAGTGGCATAACGTACTCGTATCCCTTTGGTACGCTCCAGAGCTGTAGTAAACCCAGGTTAGTTGGACCTCGTAGGAGTGCACTGTCTAGTGACTCACATTTAATTTCTTCAATCTCTTCCCGTTGTTCATAATCAAGCACAAATTGTTTCAAATGACGTTGTTCGGCCTGATCTTGACGTTGCGCTTCTCGGGTATGAACTGCCAACGCAGACGTGCTTGGCACCGAGAGGGATTTCGTCTGTGCCAGGGAAAAAAGGAGTAAGATTGGGATTTGGGAAGACAGGAAGAGTCCTCTGATTGGACAAATAATACCTGCGCCTTATTGCCTTTCTTAGTAATGAAAGTAAATTTCATAATGCCTTCTTCTTCCGTTTCGGCGTCCTCAACATCTTCGGCCCGTTTCTTTTTGAGTCCTCCAGGTAAAGTGGATGTGTCCCAAAGTGCGAGTGCGGTACGCTTGTCTACCTTCCTCGTCTCTCCAGAATCAGAGACCATCTTAGCAAACTCTTTGGCAAACTCGGCGTCTTCTTGTTCAGAAGGTCCTAAACTTTCATGCTGTGCCGAAAATACAACAACTTCTTCAGGAGAAGGGGGCCGATCCTCGTCCTATCCATCAGTCAAGGATGAACACGTTCAATCATACTAATTACAAATATGATCACTCACAGATTCTTCTTGAACTGAGCCGGTATCTTCCTCTTCTTCCTCTTCGCGACGATCTGTTTCTTCATCGCCACTTTCGTCACCACTATCATCACCATCATCTCCTAGGTGACAAATTGATATGGAATAATTTTATGAAATTCGTCCGAGACTTACCGGATCCACCCCCTTGTGCAAATACGGAACTAAATAATTCATCGACCACCGACGCCGCATCCTCGTATGTCTTGTACCTGACAAGTTGGGGGCGTATGGCCTTCATAGAGAATAAGTTATAATCTGAGTTAGCACCGAAAAACCATCCTAAACTCACCTCAAGAGAGTCCGATAGCATGAACTCGACATCCATAGGGATTGGATCTTTACATAACGTATACATCTGTAATAGAATAAATGACTGCTCCATTAAAGAGATGCATGCGTTTCACAAACCTGGAAAAAAGTTAAGAAGTTATCCAATTTCTTCTTTTGACTACCCCGGTCGAAACACATCCCGACGGTATCCAACATAGTACAAACTAAACGAACTCGGAAGAAATCATCAGATGTATCTATAGGGCAGTTAACTCCTGGGATTGGTCGACCCTCGGCTTTAAAACTATCAGAATCCTTGGAATAGGACAAGTATAGAATATCACATACGATGCCCAAAAGTAACCAAAGACCAAAGGGTGTCAAAAACAATACCGGAGCCTATTAGTCTGTAAATATACAGCTCGCCCAGGTATTTCATCGAGGATATTCTTTGTTGATTCGATTTATAGACGTTTTGCTCAAGCCCACGTCTAATGTCTTCAAGAACCTGATCGACTACAGCAATGGAAAAGGCCGGATGGTATCTTTGTAAATCGTACGTCAGCATCGCCAACAAACTGATATTGCCGTATTTAAGCTTCCACGGTTTCGTGAAAACGCTATATAAGGTTTTTGCGACCTTGAAGTTATAAGTATTCAGAACGTAGGAACAAAGTGTCTAAGCGAACCTCTTCGTCTTCCCAATCTAATTTTCGTAACAACCTCAACACTTTGTCGATTGTCTTCTTTGACAGAACATCATAGATCAAATGGCGAATGAACATAACCATAGGCGAACGTTCTTTAACTTGACGTGGAGCACGTTCTGGAGGGTTGCACTATACGAAATGATGATAAGCGGAGACAAATCAACATACTTTAAAACTCACCTGATAATATGCATTCTCGAGCATAAGTTGTTGTCTCTGATCCAAATGTTGCATGCTTTGTTTGCGACGCATCAATTCAACCTACCAATATGTTAACTCAAAGCACACGTGTTAGAGAC